CATAGCCAACACTCGGAGAAACAACAGGGTCTGCAAGCTCGGGGCTCCACGGCTGCCCCGTCATGGCCGGTGTGGCATATGTCATATCCTGTAGTTATAGGCCTGAAGATCCTGGGGGATTCTGTTCACAGAGGGGTTTCTTGTCAACCTTGCAGTTTGCTTAACGTGTGCGTGTGTGTGCACATGCGTGCATGTGTGTGAGTGTGCGCATGTGTGTGGGGGGGTCCTGAAAATAGTGGAGAGTCTGCAATAAGTTAGCAAGAAGGCAGGGAAGGCAAACCGACAGAAGCAGCTGAGAAGAGGGGAGTGGCAGTCAGTCAGTCTAACAGCCCAGCAGCATGACGGGGGAACCAGTCCCTGATCCTAAGCGGTGGGAGCCAGATAGGCTTGCTGCTGCCCACGGTGTGGCCTGCACGTGGGCGGTGCTGGCACCTGGAGCCTGTGGAGACGCCGAACCTCAGGCCCCAGAAGTGGAGTTAGAATCTCCATTTCACAAGTTCCCGGGAGACTCATTCGTGTGCAGTCCAGGTTCCTGAGGCTCAGCCTCCCGGGCCTGAAGCCTGTCCAGCTCCACAGTTATTTGATTCTATGAAAAGAAGGAGCCTCTGCAGAGGCTGTAAAGGGACCGCAGAGCAGGTGCGTCTCTCCAAACGGGCAGCAGAGCAGCGCTGGCTGAGAACCTCGCTCATGTAATGTCTGTCCTGGGCAAACGCAGGCGGGCTGGGCAGGGAGTCCGGGCGATGCTGCACCAGCCGCGCCAGCAAGGCAGCCGTTACGAACGACGGACTTTCATAAACTTACCATGAAACAAACGCATTAAGGAACAAACACATCAATTCTAACTGCTGGGCTGCGTTTTCTGTTATTTACATCGTGTCTGCAACCAGCCCTGGGCAGGAGCATTTACACCACAGAAATCAGCAGATGCCACAGACCAGCCCCCACAGATCGTTAAACATTTTCTAGCACAAATCTCATCTGTAGACACAGGTCTCGCCTGTTAATGGCCGTGGAAGAGACTCCCGCTTCGTGAGCACAGCTGGGGGTCGGCTCATGGCACAGCCTCCCCCAGCTCCCTCGCACACCGGGCCACCTCCCGGTTGGAAGTTTCCACGAGTGACCTGGCCACATTAAAGGGAACTTTCTGGAAAGATGTCAGGAGTTCGCAGAGTCACCGGGAGGTGCAGCAGGGGCAGAAACCAGGGCAGCTCCCAGGCCACGGAGGGGGTCTGGTCGTGCTGAGGTCACAGGTCACAGCCCGGCCCTGGCTGCCACAGAGTGGGAGGGGCCCTCCTCTGGCAGGGCTAATGGCACTCTGATGGGAAGGTGTCTGGTCGTGGCGTGTGTCTGCGCCTGCATGGTCCTGCCGTCTGCCCTCCGCACCGAGCGCCTGAGGGGGGCCCTTCCTCATCCCGAGGTCGGATGCACTGGTGCACGTTCGTCTGCCTCTCGCCTGACGCACTAGGGTGGGCTGCCCTGTGGTGCTGCGTCCAGTGACAGCAGCGACCCCGCCCCGTGCCCCTCCTGTGGGCATCCATCTCGTTCCGAGCACTTCCACCTGGTGCTCAATTTAAAACCAAGCTCAAAATGAAGCACTTTACGCAGGTCCATCCTCGAACATCACTGAGCGTCGGCCCGCAGCCTCCCTGGGACCACTGCTGGGTGGCAGCCAAGGACGGCGTTTGTCAGCATCAGGCAGAGGAAGCCAGCGGCTCTGTGCGCGCACGGGGCCTCTTCACTGGCTGCGATTAGGAGGGTCAGACCAGCCCCGAAGCAGCCGCGGGACCCTGGCTGCAGGCGCTGGGAGATGGCAACGATGCCGGTCACTCCGGTGCACCCCGTAGACAGAGCAGCGTGCTGAGGCTGGCCGCCTCCGCCAGGGGCTGCCACTCGCCCTCCCGTCACAGCTCTGCTGCGCGATAATTGCCATCTGACTGTTTTTCCCCTAGAACCATCTTCTGGGAGACGGGGCTGCCTTGCTGGTGGCCGTCCGTCCAGCGCTGAGCACACGGACGAGCACCAAATACGTATTTGTTAAATGTAAGAATGAACAGGACAGCAACCTTTAATTTCTGAAAACACCGCGTAAAGTCTGAACTTAAGCAGTTTCAGAGACTTGGCATTTTTAAGTGACTAATGAGGGTCCTGATGTGGAAGCCCCTCCCCTCGCCGCCTGAGTTAAATGACAGGAGCTCCCAGGAGAGGTCAGCAGGACCTGGCACTGCAGGAAGCAAGGTCGTGGCCAGACCAGAGGGGACAACTCCCCTGGCCCCCCTGGCTGGAGTCTCACTGTTGTCCAGATTAGTAACTAATTGAACGTCGAAGCCAGAGCTTCTAAGTAGCAGTAGTTTGTAGCGTGCAGTGTCACTGTGTATTTCTCATCCGGGGCTGGACGCAGTCGCCCTGCCCAGCCCTCCAGCTCCATCACGGCCTGAGCTGTGCAGGCGTCTGTACCTGGGCATCCTGATGATCACCAGGTGAAGATTCCGGCGCCCAGAGTAGGTGATTAGGTTGCGTCTTCGCCAGGTGACTCCTGTTCTTGAGTAAAGACCTACCTCGGGTTTCTTCTCCTCTGGGCACTTCTGTCCTCCGAATCTGGGCCCCATGCGTAGTGGGGTAGACACCAGTTTTTCTTGCTCAAACACCCCTTTCTTCTAGGGCTGGTACCTGTCTCTGGGAATTGCTTCTCCTCCCATTAGACCATATTTTTTTGGTGGCAGCTGCTGCCATGTCTTACTTGGCGGTGGACTGAGACCCGCATCTCCCGTGGCGGGGACTCTGACTGGTTCGGGGTGAGTGCGCTTCAGGTGGGAGCCCAGACGCAGGCTCTTTAGGCACAGCGCAGGAGGCAGATTGGCTCCTCCAGCGGGTGGGAGTGTGACATGTGGGCCTAGGGCTCTGATTCCACGACTGGAGGAAGCCAGGATAGTGGCGAGAGAAGTGAGTCCTGTGCAGAGAGGCAGACAGAACACTGGCAGCACTTGAGCACCTGGATTAAGCTGTTCCTGAAGCTCACGCTCACTCTCAATCTCTGTAGTTTGGTTTGGTTTTTCAGCACTTCCTTGGTCTTATGAGCTATCTAATCCCCCTTGGCCTAAAGTAGTTAAAATCGGGTTTCAGTGAATGGTTTGGCCTCCTTCCTCTGGGCCTGACAGCCCCCTGAGCACATTTGTAGTCTAAGCATTAAATACACCGTATTCAAACAGTCCGTTCCTGTGTCTGGGTAATCTCTTCAAAGGCAGAGTCTGGCTTGTCTGGGTCACCCTAGCTCCCAGTACAGGATGATTCAGAGAAGATATTTGATAAATATTTGCTGAGCGGTGCTGAATGTATAGAATTCTTGGCAGGCAATTCCTGCCTGAATGAGCTTCATGTAGATGCACATGTCCCTATAAATAGATCATGGATCAATGTCCCAAATGGGAAGAGGAGGTCAGCGGCCGTGTCACCACGGGGCCCTCGGTTTCTGCCCTACTTAAATAATAAATGGGCCAGGCCCCCTCTTCCCATGGGCAGCTGCCTCACCAGGTGTGCCTCTTGGTTTCAAATTGGGGCCCCACCTCCTGAGTGAGCAGGGCTCAGGGCCCACCTTCCCACAGAGGAGCCGCTTCAGGTCGGCACCCGGCACTGGGCTCGCTGGGGCCGGGGAGGAGGGCGCTGAGCGGTGGGCTCGTCTCTGGGCATCTCCCACTCTGGCTGTCTCTGCTGAAGCCGGATCAGCGGGGCTCCCTCCTCTCCAGGGGGTTGGGGGTCAGTCTGGCTGGGTGAAGTTGTGGGGCCTCTTCGGAGAGGGTGGAGGGTTGGGGTGTTGAAGCCCCAGTAAGCCACTTCCTTGCAGGGTGGCAGCTTTGCGTCTGCAGACACCCAGGCAGCTGGAGTTTACGTCCAATGCACCGGACAGACCCCTATCTGCTCCCGTCTTTGGGACAAACCTGCCTGTTGGGGCTCAGGTGGGCTCCGGCTCGTCCCTGCCAGCCCAGTTCTGATCCCCCAGGACCTCCCTCTGTAACCCCTCCATTCTCCAACATTCCCAGTGTTCCTGCCCTGTGGACAGATTCAGCCTTGGCCAGACGACACGCCATGTGTGTCCTGACCATGTCTTGGACGTCGGGTCCTGGCCCTGAAGGCCAGCGCCTGTGTTCTCAGGGCCGGGCGGCGGCAGCAAGATCAGGGCCTGTCAGAGTGAGCAGGACGCTCAGACGGGGTGAGGCCTCCTCTCTGCACAGAGGGGGTGTCCCACCGCTTCACTGAGGCTCAGCACCACTTGCTCACGGTGCTTTCCAATGCAGCCTTGCTGAAGAGCTTACTGTTGACGCCGGTCACCCAGGGCTCTCGGGTCAGCTGGCCCTACAGCGCTGGGGAAGTTCAGGAGAGAACGCAAAGCCTCGGGCCGTTTTCAGGGCCCCTCGCCCTCCCCACAGTCGGCGGCCCATGGAGCAGAGGGAGCAGCTGAGAAAACCTGGTCAAGACCCACTTCAAGTCGGTGGTGGGGACTCACAACGGTGTCGACTAGCGGGAGGCGCAGCTCGGCTCTGCCCTGTGTGGGCTGCGTCCAGGCGTCGCTTCCCTTCTCAGAGGCAGATGTATTTACAGTGTAATATATGCAAACAAAATTTAAGTTCATATGTGTGTGGGTTTCATATTTATACCTTTTTCTGTTGCTGAAACAGAAAACCACTGCTAAATAGATGTATATACATATATATAAGTCATGTGCATGATTTACGTTGTCGTTGGTGTATTTTTTCTCTCTCTCTAGTCTTTTTTTTTTTTTTGGAGGAAGATTAGCCGTGAGGTAACATCTGCTGCCAATCCTCCTCTTTTTGCTGGGAAGACTGGCCCTGAGCTAACATCCGTGCCCATCTTCCTCTACTTTATACGTGGGACGCCTGCCACAGCATGGCTTGCCAAGCAGTGCCATGTCCGCACCCGGGATCGGAACCAGCGAACCCTGGGCTGCCTAAGCCGAATGTGCGCACTTCACCTCTGCACCACCAGGCTGGCACCTGTGGTGTATTTTTTATGGTTTATCTCTTTAATACACTTCAAATAACACTGATTTTTTTTTTTTTTTTAATGACACACTGGACAAGGACCTCTTGCTGCTGTTCTTCGAGCGGGCTCTTCTGTCCGGGGGCGTCAGACTTTCTTTCTCCCGAATGATCTGCGTGAGGAAAGATGGCCCGATCACCCAGGCCGGCCGCAGCCCCGTTTGCAGACCCCGGGCTGCCGCAGGCCGGGCGGTGCCCGCAGGGGCCTCGGGCTGCTCCTCCTCACTCCGCAGGGCACAGACTGACCCCGCGGAGAGGGCTGGGGTTAACCAAAGCCGCCGTCCCCACCAGCCTCCTAAATAGGAAAACTCAGGCTCCGCGTGGGGTGGTGGGAAGTCCCGCGGGGCCCACAGGGCGCAGCGGAAGCAGAGCAGAAACGCAGGTTCAGGGAACTCGTGAAACGGGCCTCCGGACCCCGGGCCGGCCACTGCCCCGCGGGGCTCAGACAGGCGGCAGAGGGGCTCCGCGGAGGCCAGGTGGCCCCAGGCGCAGGCTCCACGCCCCCCTGAGAAGTCGTGCGCAGCGGCCACCCGCCTCCGGGGTCCAGGCTCCGGTGTGCATCCCGCGTCCCTCTGGGACAGTCGCCTGGATGCGACGCTGGCGGGAGCTCGGTGTCCGCGCCCATCAGTCAGGGATGTTAGCGGAGGGCGCAGCAGATGGGAGACCACACGGCATCAGAGCGGAGGTGGGGGCAGGGGGTGCCCCGGCCGGAGGAGGAGCAGGATCCGGCAGGAGGGGCAGGCGGAGGAAGAGCTCCGTGAGACGTGACCTCCGCCGCGCAGGCCTCGGGGGCTTTTTCTCGTCTTAACGCTGAGCGGTTTCGCGTCCTCTGGCGGCGCGGCCCGAAGGAGCCTGACTCAGGCGGGTGCTGCGTCATCTGGCGCTCCCGACAGGGAACGGATCCCAGCCCGACGCCCACCGGCGCTCCTCTCGTCTGGAAGCTTCCGGGGCGTCCTGTATCCCCCGTGATGATCTTATTTCCTGTGCCTGCTGCGCGGGGGCCGGACTTTAAGGCTGCCGTCGCCGCCCCCGGTCGGGCCTCCACCCGCCTGCTGGTTTCAAGCCCGCGCTGCGCTGTCCTCTGGGCCGCAATATCGATCCCACCTTAATCTCGCAAACGTCTTCTGTCCAGTCCAGAGTCGCCTCGTAAGGAACGTGGGGGAAGCACAGCCGACAGCGCCTGTCCGCGGCGAGGGCGCTCTGGCTGCCTCCTCACGGAGAGCTGGGCAGCCCCTTTTCTCCGCGTTCCGAGGTGACCCTGCTCATCTCTTCTCCTCTGCGAGTTCAGAGGTGCTGACCTGGCCCTCCGACTCCGCCCACGACGCCCGCTCTCGTCATCACACCGCACGGGGTCTTCTCACTGCTGATCCTTTTTGGTTTGTTAGGACGTCCTGGGATTCTCAAAAGGGCCTTTGTCAGGCCTCCGCCTTGTCTAGTGACACAGGATGTGCTTTCCGCACCCTACAGTCTGCTCTGGGGGTAGGCGGGAAAGATTCTGTGCACTGTGTGCCTTGTTTCGCCTAAGAGTGAGCCTCACAGCCATCGAGCTTGCCCTCCGCCAAGAGCAAGTGTGGGCGGCTCACAAGGCACCGGCAGCCACCGCCCAGACAGCTGGACCCGCCTTTGGTGATGGCGTCCTGGCCTGACGCTCAGGAGATCCTGCATGTAGAGAGGTATTCGTCCATGCTGCTTTCTGGTGGAGAAACGGTTAAAAAAACAAGAAAAGAATTTAAAAACTTCGTCTGTGGTGTTCATATATCAGAAGGTGTAATTCTGGTTTTCCATGTTCAAAGCAAATATTCATCCACTTGGATAATATTTCTGAGGGTCTCCTAGGTGCTGGAGACCAAAACCTGTCTTTTTCTAGCATGTGTGGTGCCATGAGGACAAGCCACTTAAGTTCCCTGCCCACAGCCTGGCTGCAGCTCTCTGAACCCACCGCCGTGAGCACAGCCAGGCCACAGGTGGACTTGGTCAGTGCCTGAGTGGCAGGGACTCAGGGACCCCATTGCCGTGAGTGGGCACCCCCGACAGGCAACTGTGGCTCAAGGACCCACCATTTGGCAAAAACGCAGTAGCAACTGTTGCCTGCAAGAGTCATCAATGGATGCTGAAATTAGTGACGGAAAGTACGACGAGAAACAAGACATTTGCAGGGCTCAACCCAACCCCCCCCCAGATACTTATGAAAAATAAATAGAAACCTAGCAGACGCTGCTCCAGCCAGGCAGTCGAGGCCTGGGTCACAGCCATGACGGTGGCGACATTCTGCCCCTCTGGAGCCGACGCCCGGGACGGGCGCAGGGTCCCTCCGGGGATTCTTGTAAAGATGCCGAGCTACGACTCTGAGCGGGAGGAACACGCGGATGTCCACACCCAGGGACGTGCTATGAAACAACTGGCCAGTCCTCTTCCAAAGGGGCCAGGTCACGACAAGAAAGACTGAGGAGCCGGCCCAGAGTTAGGAGGTGAAGGGGTCCCAAAGCCCGAATGCCACGTGAGGTCCTGGCGGGATTCTGGAACAGGAAAGGGCGTCACTGGGATGACAGGTGGGGAAGGTCTCCAGGTGCATGGCACACCTGCTGCCCTGGCTCTCCAGCCAGGCTCCCCAGGGAGGAAGCAGTGGCCCCTCCCCCAGCACAGGCTCCTCCCCTGGCAAGGCCCCTCCCCCAGCACAGGCCCCTCCCCTGGCACAGGCCCCTCCCCACACACAGGCCCCTCCCCTGGCACAGGCCCCTCCTCCCACACAGGCCCCTCCCCCAGCAAGGCCCCTCCCCTGACTGCGCCCCAGACACAGACGCTCACTGGGCGGAGTGGAGCGTGGACATGTGGGCCCCAGGTGGGCAGACAGCCCCGTGAGCCGGCGGTGACCATCTGGGGCAGGATGGGAGCACAGGGGCCCCGCCGCACGTTCCCCGCTGACCGGGAGACGAGGCCCTTCAGTGCGGCCCTGCGATGCTGCCCGAGCGCCGAGCCCCCCCTCCCTGGTTCAGACTCTGGAACCGCGTGGGCAGGATGGGCTCCTGCGGCCCAGGCGGGAGGCTTTGTTTCCTTGCCGAGACGCTCCTTTCAGAAGCCGCTGGAGTGTGGGCGCTGAAGGCGCCCAGGGGCTGTTTTCTTTTCGGTTCATTGAGCGCCTCTTGTGACGTCCTGAATGGACGAGTTAACTTACAACCCTGTTTACCTGGAACGCGTACCCACAAGGCCAGGCGTCTCGGCAGGACGAACACCTGCTGTGGGGAGCCCTGCGCTGCCCAACCAAATGACTTTCAGCAAAGGGAGAGAGGACCCACGCATTTTGATTTTAGTGCTGAAGTACCTGACTGGGTTCCCTAGGCCAGCGACGTTTCAGACATTACTATTACCATTATTGTCGTCATTGCTTATTTTATTTAGCAGGAAACCCTTTCTTCAGACCGGGTCCGGTATGGAGATCTGGCATGTGAATAGATGGAAGTGGAGTGGGTGCCCTCTGGGGAGGAGCAGTGGAGCTTGAGTGACCTTTGAGGCACAAAGGGGGCCACCTCAGGCCCTGACGCCTTCTCACCCCGCTGCAGCCCCGGGGCCCCTCCAGGCTCTCTAGGACCCGGGACGGCTGTTCGAATGGCATCAATCCAGCCCACATCCTGCTTTGATAATCCCACCGTTCTCTCCTGAAGCCAGACGCATCCATTCTTATTGTCACTGCTGTTATTCACGCATTCAGCAACTACATACTAAGTGCCTGCTGTGTGCTGAGCCCTGTGTCATGATGGTGCAGAGATGGACAGAGTGCTAGCTGGACGGGAGCGTGAGGAAGGTGGTCGGGAAAGTTCCTGAGGAGCTGGAGGAGGTGGGCCTGGAAACTTCCAAGGGGCAGTAACTGTGCTGTTTTAGGACAGTGGCTGCAAAAGAGACAAAAGTTTGATTCCAGTAGACCTACAGGGCCTGGAGCAAGAGCAGGTCACTTAGCGGATTAATCCCTGGGGCGCCGGGCCCAGGTGCCCAGCCTGTGCAGCTGGTGCCATAAACACCGTAGGCCCCGGAACGCAGGCTTCTGTGTCAAATGTCCATGCAGGGAGCCTGAGCACGAGTTGCTTCCAAAAGCTGAAGGGTCCGTTTTATCCCTGAGGTCCCGCGGCTTGCAACACTTATGTCAGCCAGGCTCCATTTAGTGGGGGGTGGGGTGTTTTCCCCTCCCCTCCCCCAAGTTTAGACACAATTGTCGCCAATACTGGAGGAGGACCCCACCGAGTCCAGGCTTCTCTCCGTTACAGTCTTAGGTTCCCCCAACGTCTCGGGCATGACAGTTGCTGAGGTGGCCCCCTGGGCACACAGTGGGTGGGTCTGGGGGCATGAACTCTGCTCAGCCTGGGCTGTGCAGCCCTGGGGAAGTGGTTGATTTCTCTATGCCCCAGCTTTCTAACACGTAGCCGTAGGGACTAGGCTCGGGTTTTGTCAAGGAATAAAGGAGGACAGATGGGCGCCCACAGCCTCACTGGGGGGCTGTTGTCATCAGGACTGGGAAGCAGGAGGGAAATGCAAATCCAGGTTGAGGACCCTTCTCTGAGCGGCACCGGTGCTGAGCTCTGAGCGGGCACTTGTCGTTGGAGCCCATTGGTTCCGGGCTCTTCGCCCTCCCAAACAATCAAAGGCAGCAGATCAGAGCTGGCTGAGCCCTCAAAACAATCAGGGTCCAGCTTCACGTCATCTGCCACCAGGAGGCCACTTGCTGTCCTCTGCCCCCGCCAGGAGGACGGTACCAATTGGCCTCCATTCCATTTACCTTCTTGGCAAAGATGATGCTCCTGGGCAGGGAGCCGGTGGGGAACCGGCCAGCAGCTGTCTCGGTCCTCTGCTCCACTCCACAGAAATGCGAGAGGACAGGACCTGCCTCTGAGCGTCTCCCCCCATCTATGCTCCTGGGTCAGGGTGTGTCTCCCCCAAGCTGTGCTCCTGGGTCGGGGTGCGTCTCCCCCGCGCCTGACCCAGCGCTCGGTGAATGTGTGGTGAACTGAGTCACAGTGGATCCGTCCTACAGAGCCGGCCGCCTTATCTTGACTAGAGACCATCTGCCGAGAAGGGAAGAGGCCTGGGAGAGCCCCCACGGGCTCTGAGCGGCAGAGGCCCCCGCCCACCCTGAAAGGGCCCCCCGACTCCTGGCTTGGGCCTCCACCCGGTGGGCGCTGGGACTTCTGTGGCGGGCAGGTCCTCTCTGAAGAGCTGACTGGGCCCATTAGGGTGACCCCCAGGGTAGGGGCTTCCCAAGGGCGCCTGTCCCACATGGCTCAACTGGGTGGGTCCTGACCGTCCCTCAGTCCTGACTTTGAGCCCTCAGCAACTCTCCCCGCAGAACCAGCAAGAAGCCAGGACGTCCCCTGTCTGAGCTCCTCAGTCTCATCTGGACTGACTTTTCCGGAACACCGTCGTCTCTGGAGAGACAAGAGAGTCAGGAGGCAGCGTCCCGAAATTGTTCTGAAACACGTTCAACCCTCTGAAGTGACATGTCACACTGTAACCTTGTCCAACTTGGGAGAGCGTGCCTTGTCAACCTGCGCCGCTGGGCACAGCCGACACTCAAGATGACCCTGAGAGGGCCGTCCTCCCCATGGATAGAGCCACTGGCTGGGCACCAGCATGTGGCGGGCACTCAGGATTAGTGGTCAGCGTCCAGGGAAACCACCTCTCGTGTGAATAGAAACCAGTCAAATTCAGGGTGGCAGCATGTGTGCATGTGTGTGTGCTCACACTTGTGTGCACGTACATGGGTGTGCATGAGTGCATATCGGTGTGCACACGTGTGTGTGTGTCTAAGGGTTATTCATACCATCCGCAGGGACTGAGCCAGTATTTGCATCCTGTCCAGCATCAGTCACAGGCATTTCCAACCTCAGGAATGTGGGCACGGCAGGAAGGCAGAGTAACGCCAGGAGACGGTTGGTGAGCTCAATGTGTGATAGTGGCGGAAGCTACACCGGGGGCAGGGAGTGGAGGGCACAGTGTGGCTAGCCCGGGGCGGCCCCCTGCACGGTCTGTAGACCTTCCTCACCGGCCTGCGATGGAGAAGCAGGCGTTCGCAGAAAACACTTAGGCAGGTTCGCGGCAGCTTCTGGAAGGTGGTGGGGCCTACTGAGCAGGTGCGGACAGCGGATGCTGACGGACGCGCCTGGCGAGCTGCAGGCGATGCGGGTCCACGTCCGCCACTTGCGGGAACTGACTGCAAATTAGGAAAAGGGAAACTGGTCTGCACCACAGACGTTGAGAAACGGAGCTGGATTACTCTGTATTTCTTCTTTTGTTGCGAGTGCAGCTACATTTTACTTCATTTTACATATTTCAACATCTACTCCTTGGGAGTCTTACTCCAAGATGGGAAGACAACATGATAAACACAAGGTACATGCTGTTGGATTCTAGGAAGATATCCTGCTGGACGCCTTCCCACCAAACGGTGTAGAGACATTTGCATGTGAGCCAGCAACCTCGGGGACCAGGATTTGGGAGGCAGCCAGGGGCAATCTAAAGACAACATGTTATCACTCAACACATCAGGATGATGTGGCTTGGGCGAGGCCACCGTGGGCCTGGTGTCTTCTGGTCCTGGTCACCATGCCTCTTGGACTTCCCAGCTTAGCCCTCGCCTGCCTCCATTCCACGCCTGTGCCATCCTGTGGCCTTAGCTCTTTGCTGGAAATACCACAGTGCGTGCCTACCCTTGGAGAGCCGGGCTCCCAGGGGACGAGCACTTCCTGTCTGTCTGTGATCGCTAGCAAAACTTGCCAGGCTCCCGCAGAGGCACACATGCTCCGTGTTGTGGGCAGGGTCATTGCAGGGACCGTCTGAGCCTCATGCTGCCCTGTGGGTGCAGGCGTGTGAGTGTGAGCCTGTGCACACATGTGCATGCATGTGTGCGTTGTGTAATGCATGTGTGTAGGTGTGTGTGTGTGCATGTGTGTATGTGCCCATGCACAGTGGGAAAGCGGCCTTTGTCCCAGAGGGCCGGGAGCAGAGTGAGGGGGCGGCCAGCAGAGACAGTGTCCTGGAGTGGAGGCACAGCTCCACCTGGTCACGTGAACCGGTGACCAGACTACGAGCAGAAGCAGATGTTCAGAGGAGGACCTGAAGCGCCCAGCCGGAAGCGCCTGGAGACGGGCTCTCCTCTGTGGGGGTTTGCTTCCCTGCTCCTCGCACATCCACGACTGGGAGCTCGAGCAGTGTCACCAGGGAGCTTGACGGAAATGAGACTCCAGGGCCCATCCAGGCCCACTGAGCCAGAGCCTGTGTTCTGACGAGCCCCCGAGGTCTGTGCGCACTTGAGAAGGAGCATGAAAAGGGAGCTCTGGGGTCGGTTCCCGGCACTGTGGGACCCAACAGGCTGCGGGAAGGTGGCCTTGTGGAGTTGCTGACAGTGGCTCCTGCTGCTGTAACACGCTGCATCCTTGTGGGGCCCAGGGGCGCTGCAGGTCCCGACACTACAGCTGGGCCCACAGACCCCACCTAGCGGGGCCTCTCTGTGGAGCTTCCTATCGGCCGGCGCATCCCGCTGGGCCTTTCTCTCAGGCCAACTGATCTTTGTTCCATGTTTGATCTCATTTCATGATCTTATTTAATGCTTAGACAACCCAGCAAAGGCAGCACCATTATTTTGTCCACTTTTCGGACAAGGAATTTAGGCATTAATGGTGTGAGAATCGTGCTCCACGTCGCAGGGCTGCGAACTGAGCCTCCTCCTGCTGGACCAGGCGGCCAGGCGGCGGACAGAGGCGGCTTCCCAACCTCAGCAAGCTTCACCTCTGCTCCTGCTCACGTGGGCCAACGCGCGCCACGTGGGCACCCACACCCGTTCCCTCTCCTTCAGTGACCGAGAAATCTACCCCACGGAGCAATCGTGGCAGCCTGCGATGCGCGAGGGAACAGCGAATGGAGGGAAGATGGGCCAGCAGCCCCTCTCTTGCTCGGGCACCGACGTCTGTGCTGTGGGTGCGATCTGGCCCGAGAAGCAGGCTGCTCTGGGGACAGAACTCTGCCATCACCTCGCTGGTGACCTTGGGGTTTAACTTCCCAAAGACAAAATGAACAGGAAACAGACGTCACCAGCAGGCTGGGGAGAGGCATCAGTAATGCAAAAATATGCATATTAGAGATTACTCTCTGAAGAGCATGAAATTTCACGAAGCCTGCTCCAGATCCCACTCCTGATTTTGGCTGTAAATGGATTTGGTTTAATTAAACACAGAGCATTTCTTAAAAGCATCTCAGGCTGACAGTACTGTGTTGATCTTAGACCGCCCTCGAGTGCCGGTGGGTTTGCCTGAGCCCCTCTTAGGAAGGAGGCTTCTCCAGAGACCACCCAGAAGGGGTCAGGACAAGGACCGCTGTGGCGGCGCCAGGTGCCGGGAAGCTGTGGCACATGAGACCCATGATTCTCGGCCTATGAGGATCATGGAGCTTGCAGCCCTGCGGAAGGTGCTGGAACTCAGACAGAGATGTGTTCAAAGTCACCGTCTGCCACCACTCCCTCCCCAGTGTTTAAGGAAGGAAACGACTGTTGTGCCAAGGTCAGAGGAATTCGAGTTAAGGACAACGTTCTGGAAGCCTTTATAGTCTCAGTGATCAAAGGGAGACACCCTCCTGCTCCGTAGTCTCCGGGCGCGCGGAGGAGAGCAGCCACCTAGAGACAAATGCAGCTCGGGCAGGAGAGAGGGCCCGGGCTGCAGCACGGAAGGCTCCGGAGCCCCACACCTGCTCCTCCGTCCAGGGGGAAGCAGTACCCATTCCTTTACTCAAGATCCCTGTAGTTAAATGTTGACACCTGGTGATGGAGAGAGGGCAGAGATGAGAGGTGTTCTGGGTGTTTCCGAGGAGACACCAGCCGTGTGTGTGCATCTTCTCAGTCCCGAGTGGCTAATTCACCGTTCATCCATCCGGGAAATCCCGAGGGGACGCCCACGGAGTTGCACAAGTTTTGATATGTGGTTCATTCAGGTATAAATATGTTTTAATTTCCATTATTCATTTTTGGCCCATGAGTTGTTTAACACTTTCGTTTTAAAATTTCCAAATGTGTGAGGTTTTCCTAGTTATCATTTTGTTGTTGATTTTTAAATTATTGTGTTGTAGTCAGAGAACTGTTGCAACACTCTACATATGTCCATTACATCAAACTTGTTAATTATGCTGTTTCCTTTTTTTTTTGGCTGGGAAAGATTCGCCCTGAGCTAACCTCTTCCTCTCTCTTTTTTCCCCTTCCCAAAGCCCCGTTACATAGTTGTATATTCTAGTTGTAGGTCCTTCTAGTTCTTCTGCATGAGCCGCCACCACAGCATGGCTCCTGACAGAGGAGTGGTGTGGTTCCCAGCCCAGGAACAGAACCTGGGCCGCCGAAGCGGAGCATGCCCAACATCAACCACTAGGCCATCAGGGCTGGCTCTGCTGTTCATTCTTCTATATTCTTATTGATTTATGTGTATCTTATCAATTTATTGAGAGGTACTGAAACATCCAAAAATGACGCTGAATTTGCCAATTTCACCTTATAGTTTTGTCAGATTTTGCTTATAACAGCATAGCTCTAAAGCACGTATATTTTTTATTTTTGGAGCTATGTTATTAGATCTTACTTTTGTTAAATATATGTGTATGTGTGTATCTCCAACACCCAGTGAGGGGACTATAAAAGGCCCTGGATACCAGGAGGTGAGGCTCGTTGGATCCTGGAGGCTGGCTAACGCAACAGCCTTTAGAATTTCCTTCAGTGAGGGTCTGTTGGTGGCAAATGCACTGTTTTTGTCTGAAAGTGTTTTTACTTTACCTTTGATCTTGAAAGATAATTCTATTTCTAGATTGTTCACAGTTCTAGATTGATAGCTATTTTCTCTGAGTACTTTGAAGATACTATTCCACGGGTTTCTGTGTTTCACTGTTTCAGTCAAAGATTTAGCTGTCAGACTAGTTTTTAGGTAATATCTATTTTATCTCTGGCTGCTTTTAGGATTTCCCTTAGTTTTTGTTCTGTATTTCACTACAGTAAGTTGGGTGTGGATTTCATTTTAATCATATTGCTTTGAATTCAGTGAGGGGCCGGCCCGGTGGTGCAGCGGTTAAGTTCATACGTTCCGCTTCTTGGGGGCCCTGAGTTCGCCGGTTCAGATCAGGGTGTGGACATGGCACCGCTTGGCATGCCATGCTGTGGTGGGCGTCTCACATATAAAGCAGAGGAAGATGGCCATGGATGTTAGCTCAGGGCCAGGCTTCCTCAGCAAAAAAGAGGAGGACTGGCAGTAGTTAGCTCAGGGCTAATCTTCCTCAAAAAATAAATAAATAAATAAATAAATAAATAAAATGAGATAGTTAAAAAAAGAAAAGAATTCAGTGAGATTCTAGATATAAGCCTTGAGGTCTTTAAACAATTCTGGAAAATTCTAAGCCTTTATCTCTGCAAAAATTGCCTCTCCGTCATTTTCCCTAGACTTTCCTCTTGAAATCTGGATTAGACTCACCTGGACCGTCTCATTTTGACCGCCACACACCTCAGCTTGTCTTTAATGTTTCCCGTCTCCTGTTGCATTGATTTCTGAATAGTTTCTTTGGATTTGTCTTCTATTTCACTAGTTTTCTCTTCAGTTATGTCTAATGTGCTTTCATTCTGTCCACAAAGGTTAAATTTCAATTAAACCCTAAATATGATTTTTAAAGTGAAAAAATACCTTTTGAAAAATCCACTTGATACTTTACAGTCTTTGGTACTCACACACCTTTCCTTTGTCTCGTTAGACAGATCGATGTGCTCATTTCAGGGTCTGCGACGGCTCAGTCCTGAGTCTGACTCTGTCGTCTGCTGTTCCGCTCGGTCTCCCTCACAGGGAGCTTGCGTGTCAGGTGGTTATGGCTATTGTCTCATGTTGTCTATAATTCTGTCCGCAGGGATTGTCTGAGACCCAGGTTGGAGCTGTGTTCTCGTGGGAGGGGTCTGCTGGTCGTCTGGGGGTGTCGTCAATGTGGGAGCACTTTAACTTATGCTGTCCACTTGTGGTTCTTCAGGTTGCACAAGCAGCGCACATTTGGGCTGCAGACTTGCTTAGGGACCAGCAGCTGGTTACTAATTCTCAGAGGAATTATTTTTCCTCCCTTCATCCAATTAGGCGATTTTTCTCACTGCTGTCCTCAGCATGGAGGACGTACTTCTCATCTTCCTGCACTGAAAGGAGAGCCCTCTGTGGTTCCAAATCTATGTGGGGTTTCTTAGGCTTATCTCTTGCCTCGCAAAGTTGTCAGAATGAAAGCCTCAGGTAGCCAGGGCCTGGGAGGCACCCTCGGGGGAAAGTCCTTGATCTAAGTGTTATTCCACAAGGCTGGCTATTTTCAGCCAGAGGGTACCTGGGAGTGGACGTCCCTCAGCATTTTTTGAACAAATGGAGAAAGTGAGATGGAATTAAGGCTGAAAGTTAGGGACTTTGGGAGAAATGTTCCAGGCATCAGGTCCTGTGCTTTGAGCAGAGCTTTCCAGCTGGCGTGGAAAGGCGACTCAGCCTGAGGAAACGGGCTTTGTGGAAGGAGGTGTGGGTGGAAAGGTCTGTGTCAGCACTTTCTGGCAGGGGTGGCGATGGAAGCAGAAAAAGACGAAGTACGTGTCCTCTAAGCCGAACCTGCCCAGACAGTAATGGACAGAGAGAAACGGCGTCGGGAGGGGTGAGGCGTGAAGAAGCCGTGTTGAGCCCCGGGCCGTGCTGGAGAGGAGGCACATGCTACTTCCCTGTTCACATAGACACGGGGCTATGATGCCGCACGTGCCGAGTTCATCCTCGAGGAGTGAACGCGGGGGCGTGTGATAGACGTGCATCTCCTCTGGCAGCCACCTGTCCGGCCCTGGGAGGGGCACACGGGTCTGAACTGGGACAGGAGGGGCTCGTTTCCTGAACCTGCGTCTCCTTCAACTATTGCACCCCTACCGCAGGCCACGCGTTCTACGTCTGGCAAGCGCAGAGCAGGCTGGCATGGCATTTCCACCGAACTGGGCACACCCTGAAAAAGGAACGTGTGGTAGCCTGTGAGCGTCGAGGGAGCCTGCACATGGAGGTCAAAGTGCAGCTTCCCAGGAAGTGCCTGCAATGAAGGGAGATTTGAAATGACATCTGAGCGACCTCAGAGCGTTTCTCGTTTCTCGTCAAGTGTCTTCTCCCGTCTCAGGGTGCGAGGAGCGGTTACCACTCTCCCTCCCTTCTTTCCTGACTCTTTGACAAGATCTGAAGTTTTCCAGAGAACTGAGCTTTTTTAAGGAAGTGTCTGTTAACGCCCTTGACAAATACGTGTCCCAACCCCAAGCCGCCTATGCTCCAGCCATGACATCTGCTCGGCTGAACCTCTTTCTCACTTCCAGACCCAACCCTCCCTGACTCCAGCGAGATCCTTGCCGCCTCCAACTCGGAGCTCGGCGGTGACATTTCAAGGCAAAAGGCTTCTGATGCCGTCTTCATTATCGTGCCACAAATGTCACTAGCTGACTGTTGGCGGAGTGCTGACAACCTTGCTTTCTTTCTTCACTGACAAATTTAAAAAGTCAATTTTTAGAAACTAGTTATAACAACATCAACAAAAATAATCCTCAGGGCTAAAACCGTGACCCGTGCTTGGTTCTCCTACCGCAACCTTCAGAAGCCTGGACGCCGTGGGTGAAGATGGACGTGTCCTCTCTCACTCAGCCCTCTTATTGATCCCTGCGTTTCGTCAGAAGCAGCGGTCTGTGGCCATCTGGGCAGCTCCGATTCACAGACTCCAGGGTCCATTCCTCCCCAACAGGTGTGTGGTGATGGGCATCTTGGGCCCAAGATGATAACTGCACCCTCAAATGGGGTCGACGTTAGGGGTTAAACGGCCGGTGTGTCCCTCTGGGAATGGAAGCACCTCTAAGCGCTGGTGTCCCTGGTCACTTGATGACTGTCCACGTCACCAAAAGGATTTGTCTTTGGAAAACAGGCAAATGATCCCCAGGTGACAGCTTGCGGGGAAGGTAGAAGGCCCACCCACATATCAGCCAGTGCTCTGGGTGCTGTGATGGCCTTGAGTGTGACGGTCCGCATGGGCTCCATCTCCCAGGTCGTGAGGAGGTGGCATTGCTGGCCCACCAGTCACCCAGGCCATCAGAGCCAACTATGAAGGTGACCCCGTCTCCTCAGGCATGAGGACGGCTCCATGTGTGCCGGGCACCTTCACAGGAGGACAGAAATTGAAACATCAGTCCATCGACCTCGGAAATCAGTCTCCAGGCCATCAGGGAAGGCCAGTGACCGTGCCCAACAGACGTTTGGGCAGCAGATCTGCAGGGTGTGTAGAATGTTCTCTCCATCAGAGAAAACTCTGCCCTGGCCGCTCACCACAGGTTACCCTCTGCGTCCTTTCGAGCTGGCTGACAGGTGAGGGCACCGCGGGGACTGCCGGCTCTGCCCCAGCCCAGATGGCAAGGCTGCAGGCAGTGGGAACAACAGGCAGAGCTGGAGGGAGCGGGAGCTGGTGTCACAAACGAACTAGTGTACACCCAAAACCCAGCGATTCTACTCATGGGAATAACCCTGGAGGGAGTCACACCACGTTCTCAGCACCCCCATTTGTGCAGTAAGAGCCGGAGGCAACTGGAATGCCCGGCAAAAGAACGAACAACAAGCTCGACCTGGAGTTTCCCTGCGACGGAGCGTCAGAGAGCAGATGACGCCCATGAGCGGCAGCTGTGCCCCCCGACGTGACAGATTCCAAATATGGTGCGAAGTGAAAGATTCTCTCTTAAAGTTCAAAACAAGGCAATACTGAAAAATATGTCGCTTAAGATACGGTATTAGTCTGGGTCCTCCAGAGAAACAGAATATGAAATATATATACATGTATGTATATATTTACTATAAGGAATTGGCTCCTGTCACCAACACTTATTATTGCCTTGTTATATTTACAATAAATATATTATTTTTAAAAATATAATTCAAATACTTTAAATAAATGCAATTATAATAGCCATAATTATATTATAGTAAAACCTATTTTATTATGGTGGGTGTGGTTTTAACTTGCATTTCCCTAATGACTAAAGATGTTGAGCTCTTTTCGTTTGCTTATTGGACGTCTGTGTATCACTTTGGGGAAATGTCAGTTCAGACCTCTCTCCCATTTAAAAACTTGGTAGTCTTTTTCCTGTCAAGTTGTAAGAATTCTTGACATGTTCGAGACACTAGACGCTTACCAGAAATACAATTTGCAAGCATTTT